CGTAGATTTGAGGTGAGCACGAAATCTATCAACTTAGAGTAGTAACAGTTCGAGGTGGTTTTGGGGATCAATGAACCACAATGACGTTTTGCGTCTACTACTTTCAAAGAGATTTAATAGGTCAGAAAACAACGAGAGAGAATTTTGCGACACAGCTGAAGACAAACAATGGTTGCATTCAGTCATGATGATATCTAGTCTAAAATATGCCATGTACAACAAACAACCACTATACCTTCAAAATATCAGTGACTGAAGTCAAGATAAACAAGACTACTTTACGGTCCACTTCAACTGTGATCAGCACTACTCACAGAAAATGTAGTAGTTCTACCCGTTTATCATAGATGTGAATCATATCAACGTTACATAAAGCCGAGATAACCTCAGTATGACTCACTCAGTTTTCACATCCATGAACTTGTTGAATCGATTAGGCATCAATCAATATGAGTGGAGAGATTAATTTATGTGGTATATAGAAGGTTATTTCAACAAAATGATTCCCTTAATAAACATTAAAACCTGTGTATCTGACAGCTTCTAATGAAAACGCAATATATCTACGTTAATTTAAGCAATTTCTCTCGAAATTCTTCAGTTTACAACCCTTATTCCTTACCAATATGAGGAAACAACAGAAAGCTTAATATATTACATTGATTAGTCACTGAAGACAGTAACCAATTTCATGCCTTCCAGTCCTGAAAGCTGACCAAATTCTATTGATTATTTTTCAGTGTGACCATAAAGGTATAAGGTGCATTTTATCGTAGTGCACTTCTGATTGGTGCTAGATGGATGGACAAACATCGGGAAGCTCTCTACCTAGGTTTAATGACTATTGGCACTGATCAACAGATATCCTCCTTTGACAAACGGAGACAAGCATAAAAGCTTGGTCCATAGGCTTCTCGACGTGATATCATCATTTGGGGTTATCATAGGCCCAACTAACTCCTTATTTCTGTCTTCATAAAAGCAAAATAAGTAAACTGATTCTGGAAATCATCTACTAGACTTGAAGAAAATGTCTCTTCCATTGATATAGCAGTACAACACAGATGGTCATATAGATAGGGTTATTCTTTAGTTATAAGTTGTAGTTAAACTTATCAAAGAAATAACCTATTCTTCGAACAATACAACTTGCTGTTTTATATTCATTCAGTAAGAAAAGGCTGATTTTACAAGAACTATCCTTGAGGTTCCATTTATGAGATATACTTTTTCACCCTTTAACCTAACGTCATCAGTAAGAATAGGATATCACCATACATCCAAAGAATGGCACCTACAAGTTTATCATATCGCTCGAGACATTTATGCGCACCTTAGAAGAACGGTCTATATCAGTAGTCTAGTATCTTGATGCTTTGAGTTGGAAGACTTTTTGTTTGCCTCTACAAAGGCAGCAGAAAACAGATTGCTTAGAACATATTATTAATCATGGTTTAGGGAAAATTAGACGATATTTTGTTAACTTTAATGGTTATCATCAGCTACGGATTAAGGTCTATAAATTCATTTTCTTTTGAATATGTATAAATGCTTAGACCATAAAAATGGTTGTTAGTAAGTGAAACTGTAGGTGTGCTAGCAGTCAAAACATTTCTATGTTATTTTGACCCATACTGTGGGAATTTACATTTACCTAGCGGATCAAGTTTGGAAATCTGATTGGACTTCAGCACTCACTCGTTATTTTTTGAGGCGATCATACACAGTTCCCACGAAAAGTTTAGATTTCCATTTAATTTGTTTGAAGCCAAACTTTATCCTTAGCATCCAAACACTGATCGCTAGAGATAGACAGATGGAGACAAAATCGACGTAGGACTTCGTACACTAATGCACAGGTTCAAGTTGCCACAATTCACAACAGTATACATAAAATACGTGGATAGAAAAACATGGATATTAAAGTAAACAGAGATGTTCGAGGGAAAGATAACACTTCATGCAAATATTCATACCTGAAAAAACATCAAATACTGAATAAATACACATACACCATTGTGACCTATTCCAGACATGTCACAAACAGTACTCATCCACTGATTCATATCGTCTCATAAATCCCACCTTGACACTATTAACCTCTCAACACCACTCACACAAACAGTCAGACACTTCATGAACTGGTATCACGTCGTGGTCTGACCACACCCCAACACTCCTACAACCTAATCCAGATTCCCGTAGCATGGTATATCGAGGTATGTGGTGGCTCGGTATGCACAGTACATACATGTCAAAGGTATATTAGCTGATGAAATTCCAAAACCTCATCACTCAACTTGTCTGTCTTGCCTAATACCCTTCACCTGAGTTCAACAATACTCACACAGTGATTGCATCAAACGCGACCTGAGCTACGAAGACGCGTGTGGTGGAAACTGTGTAACCACTTCATGTCTTCTGTTTCCAACTACTGTATCTCACAACCATGTAACAGGACAGAACGAACCATAGTGGTGTTATGTCCTGGTCTGGCCACCCTAACCGTCTTCCAACCTAATCCGACTTCCTCTAGGATGGCATATCAAGATAGGCTCTCTAGAGATTGTACCACCAGGCATTCTGAATATGTCAAACTAAAAAACTGCCTTCACAAAAAGAAGGCAGTACATTAGGCAGGACATTTCATATCCAATCTGAGAACTTGGTGTGAACTCAGCCAATTTTGCTGTGCCTGATACATGTCTTATAACTCTGATTTCATCGATTGACTAGTTTCTCTTCTATTTTCATCTTCCTCTATTGTGTTTCTTTTTTATATAATCCAAAATTTCAAGGTTATATTTTTCACTGTAGTTGAACTTGAACGTTTCTTTTTCATATACTGACCGTAACGATATTTATAATGCAAGAGTAATTTATTGCAGCACAAACAGTGATACTCATTGAAGTAAAATGCGTTGTTATGAAATATCAATTTGGTTGGAAGGTCTGCTATTTATGAATGCGAAAACGCATGTACTGCTATACCCCAATACAGTCTACTTTTATCTCGTCCAACTACAGTATTGGTTATCACCCCATCCAATCGTTAGTTATTGGGGTATACTTTCATAACGTTTAATAATTTTATTCACTTCCCTCTCTGGTATTGGTTCCGTACCATGAATGATTAATATCTCCTTCAGTAGATCACTTGAAATGCTTCCTTTTAAATCTTTATCAAACAAAGAAAATGCATCCCATAAATGTTCTTCAAATTTTTGTGGTGTTGGAAACCAGAATCTCACTGCACTATCCACAAATGCGTCAATTTTGATACGCCCTAGGTGTTCGGGATCGATTTCTTGCAAGACTTGTGCTATTTGTGCATTTGAAGGTATCAGCCTTAGCCAACGTAATGCTTTCGCAAATTCTTTGTGTGATATGAAACCGACGTTGTGATAATCGAATTGATGAAATGTTTTTTGATTAGCTGGACTTCATCTTTTTTTAAATCATCAAGCTTCAAAGCACAGTAAGCTGGTAGACAAGAGAAGCAGTAAATCCAGTTTGCTAGGAAATCTATAACATAACTCATGTGAACGAAATCCTGGAAGGCTATTAATCGCTTCAGTTAAGGTTAAAGTTGTTCTGTTTTTTACCTCCCGGATGTACAGAAAAATATAGGCCTTCAATCTTTAAAATGGATCACTGAATCGCTAAGTGACCAGTCCATCGGAGAGGTTTTTATACACTCAAGTGTTAGATGAGCTATCTGATCGTTTTTATCTTCGAACCCCCCACAATCCTAATTTCTTATGGAAATAACTATCATACTTCAAAGTTAAACACTTGCATATATTTGATAGTGGAATCGGCTTTCACAACGGGATTCTTTTGTTGATAGATACAACAACAGTATTACACTTTACTGATTATATAATGTTGATCTTGAAGTGGTGGTTTTTTGGATTACTGTAAAAGTAGGTTAGTTTGCAGAATAATATGGTCTGTTATGCATATTTTAGCACCTGGTGAACTACGAGAAGCAATACAATGGATCAAGCCGAGATAAATGCATCTAGACCGTAACAGGACAGAATCGGAAAGGCCTAACTAGAATAACTAAACCTCTCAGCAAACACCTAAATTTTAGTGAACTAAATAGCAAGCAACACTTATTGTGTCATAGCTAATGATACTTTCTGTCTGTTTGGACCTCAATAGGTAGATCAAAGTATGAACCTATGAATCATCGGTTGAAAGTCAACTGCTTGAATTAATTAGTCTCATCTGGTAAAGGACAAGATTTACTGTATGATAAACAGCAGTAGAGTTTTCCATCCCTAACCTGTGACTGAGGACACAACTCACAAAGGTATGATAGTGTTTCTCATCTGCACTAGTTCTGACTGCCTTCATGCTAAGTCAATTTTATAACTTTTGTTGAGCGTTTTTCTGAGAAGTGATCACTAGATTTAGTTTGAAAACACAGATCAGATCAGTTTATATTGTTAGGTATCCTTATCAGTTTTGTGAATGAATATGTTCCAGACACATATAAGCAGTTAATAAAATTGCTCTGTACATGCCTTAGGAATGATGAATCCGATTACCTTTAGAATATACTTTCATCCAACTTTTATCATATACATTCCTGATAATAAATAGGCTCACGTTCAATCAACCAATTGATATGAGTTGACTAACAATTTAAACTATCCGTAAAAAACTTTTGATACACCATAATAAGTCAAAGTCTCAATTAATTCAAGAAAAAGAAATTTTTTTTGAAAGGCAAACTTTCAAACATTTTACATGAACCTAGATTTACAAATACTTCAGAAATAAGTATAATATGAGGGGAAATAAGTAGAAAAATCATTTCAAACCTGTTTTCTTTCCAATCTTAAGGTGGATTCATACAATATGATGAGTAGTATTTGTCTACAAAGAATTCTATACAATGTCGGTACTATCACTTCGGTATCATGATAGAAAAACTTTCAACAATTTTGTGTTTTATTGAGAAAAATACAATAAAATATGAATCTTATTTACAGGTAATAAATGCTTCGAAGAGAAAACAATATAAATAAATGAATCAGAGATATGTTGATTCCAGTAACTACCTGATGAGAAGAACTTGAATTCTTCAGTTTATACTGATCTGAATGCAATTTTTGATAAGAGAAAAAAAAATTTTTGGTGAATTCGGTATAATTTAAAAACATAGTTGGAGTTACATAAACTGAGAAATATACTGAAATTTTACACCTATGATGATTTCAGATTCAACATTAAAACAATCATCAAGGAATTGACTCTTGACGAGTAAATTATTCTAAAGCATTGCTTCCTGATTTGTAAACTAATAATCCTATTTATTGATAATAACATAATACAATCTCCATCGATTACCAGCTTCACAGACAGTAATGAGAGAATTTTGTAACTGCAGTACGATTGACACTTTGCAACAGTGTATATTGATTATAGAGATCAAAAAGCAGAAGTAATTGGTTTGATGGTAAATGTTTAGAAAGTAATTATGAATTAAAGTCAATGAATTAATTTAGAAGTAGTATTTATCTCATGGACTGATATCAGTTGGGGAACTACTGAAAACCCGAGAGCACTGGGCAGCTGTTTCGTCCAACTAGTAATGGACTCCTCACTAGTACACACCCACAACCACGCTACGCATCAGAATCATGGCATTCAGGTTTCATGGTGAACGCGTTAACCATTCAGCCACTAGGTCGGTTTCCAGTGGTTCACAAATTCCAACTTATGTCAATTCACGATATAGCGCGACTATCACCCAAGGTCTTCAGTTTGCATCCACTTCACTTCCGACTGGTTGACCCCACAGGCTATGGCTTCTTGGGTGATACTCATGCTATATAGTGAATTGACAGAAGTAGTAGAATATGGACGACTGATAACCGACCCAGTGGCTGGATGGTTAATGCGTTCGCTGTGAGACCTGAAGGTCATGAGTTCGATGCGTAGCGTGGTTGTGGGTGCGTAGTGGTGAGGAGTCCCATACTAGTTGGACGAAACAGCTGTCCAGTGCTTCCGGATTTTCAATAGTTCCCCAACTGATATCAGTCCATGATGAATACTACTTCTAAATTAAAAAATCTCCATTCATCTCAAAAATACATTAATGAATTAATTATTGTACAGTTGTCTTCCTTTTTTCCTTTAAATCGATTTATTTGGTGAAAGATTCACCTAAACAAACATCAAAAATCTATTCCATATTAGATTTGTTTATTTGATATAAAGCGCACAGTGATACAGTATTATTTAATTGATCAATTAAATAATACTGTATCACTGTGCGCTTTAAAAAAAAAAAGGAATTCCCCCAATTTTTATCAAAAATCTATGCCTTTAAACATTTTCAATCTGTATTGAATATCCGTTTCCAGTAGTAAGTGTGTTTATTCAGTTTAACTGAATGAATGACGTTCACAGCTTAATACTATATTCCTAATGTCACTTACTAACATGAGTTACGATAAACAGCGAAGTATCATTATCTCTTTTGTTCATAATCTGATTGATTTAAGAGTGGTTAACTAACTTTCTTCCTGTTTACAAATTAAGCAAATCATAAACATTTTGATAATCTTTCTACCTAGCCATCAGTTAATCTTATATTTTTAAGGATTGAAGCTTATTTAAATATTCAAGAAGGTAAACTTTCATCAGTAGTGAACAAGATGAGAGATACGACTGGTCGACTTATAAATGCCTACATTGACCAGTTCTAGGTCCCTTTCGTTCGCTTGATTTTGAGTAAGTAGGTTATACTGTTCATCAACGTGAGATTAATATATCTTACAAGGTAGTACTTAAGTATACATTTCGTTAGAATGATGAAATAAATCTTTACATTTGACTGTTTTGCATTATATTGTATTCTGAAACCCTGATATAATTGGAATACACACACATAAGTTGGCTAGAAATTCCGTCTTTTAATACTCATATATCCAAGTTAGGGAATACTCAGTATTCACTGACTTTGAGCCAACTACAGTCCGTTCTGTCCTGTTACATGGTTGTGAGATACAGTAGTTGGAAATAGAAGACATGAAGTGGTTACAGCGTCTTCGTAGCTGCGGTCGCGTCTGATGCAATCACTGTGTGTGTATTGTTGAACTCAGGTGAAGGGTATTAGGCAAGATAGACAAGTTGAGTGATGAGGTTTTGGAATTTCATCAGCTAATATACCTTTGACATGTATGTACTGTGCATACCGAGCCACCACATACCTCGATATACCATGCTACGGGAATCTGGATTAGGTTGTAGGAGTGTTGTGGGGTGGTCAGACCACGACGTGATACCAGTTCATGAAGTGTCTGACTGTTTGTGTGAGTGGTGTTGAGAGGTTAATAGTGTCAAGGTGGGATTTATGAGACGATATGAATCAGTGGATGAGTACTGTTTGTGACATGTCTGGAAATAGGTCACAATGGTGTATGTGTATTTATTCAGTATTTGATGTTTTTTCAGGTATGAATATTTGCATGAAGTGTTATCTTTCCCTCGAACATCTCTGTTTACTTTAATATCCATGTTTTTCTATCCACGTATTTTATGTATACTGTTGTGAATTGTGGCAACTTGATGTTTTTAGTGTATCAGTCAGTCAGTTGTTAGGTAAAACGTAGGGTTTATTCAAATAGGTACCGTAAAGGTAATTAATAAAACTGGTAACGAAAGATTTTGTCACCTCAGTGTCAACCACGAGAACCATATAAAATGTTTACTTTTAATCTCAGTATCAGTATGTCTCACATATTAGCTTAAATATTTCATCATTGTATAAGAAAGTCAATACATATATCACTACTATTTTACTAATACTTGTTACTAGTAATTTGTGATAAAATTTGTTATTCTGGTCAGCAAAAGTTCTTTTATTATCTTCGTTCAAGGAAACCTAGAAATCCTGTAAGGCCCTACTACTTGTAGGTTATTGATTACATTCAACATATACAGTTGCAATGATAGAAGTTTGTTTATCCTGATGTTTTTTCTTGTAATATAAGGCTTCTCACTATTATAGTGCAAGCCAAGAGTGTGCAACAAAACCTTCTCACCTCATTTACATGATTTATTAGTTTGGCTGCCACAATCCTTTATTCATGTATATTCAATCCGAATCCTATACATACCGGGAAAATATTTTAAAGCAAGCCATTATCTGCTATTAACCCAATAAAAGTCACTTAAATGACCAGAAAACCTATTTTTTTTATGTATTCTGAGGTCTATAGGAATTTGATTTTAAAAATGGATTCATTGCGGCCTTGCATCACTTGGGGGAACCACTGAAGACCTGCGGGCACTAGATACCTATTTTGTCTTCGTGGGACTCCCCAGCAGCATGGAACCACAACCACTTGGAAGTGAAGTAGATGTCAACTGAAGACCTTGGTGGATAGCTGCGCTATACCGTGAATTGTCATAAGTAGGAAACTGCAGGCCATTGAACTCCAGCCCAATAGCTCAGTAGTTAACTTGTTTGCCTTGATACTCTGGAGTTCGATCCCTACTGGGGTCACTGCTGTGTGCTGATGAGGTGTTCCTTACTGAGACAAAACAGCTATTCAGTCCTCCTATGTTTTAAATGTTGCTTGGCTGCCATCAGTCTGTGATGAATACAACCTGTTTCAAAGCCTGAATCACAAAAATTAGACATTGTTTTATCACAGAGAGCTTGATCCAGGGCTATTATATATTCTCTATAAAGGAGATACTTCTGATCAGTATCATGCCTTATTTTGGCTATTCTAATGTCATAAAAACCGGAAGATCTACAGGAAAAAACTAACAAGCTAACAGAATAGGCACGTCAAGGCAACAAGGATGGCACTTCCTTCAGGTGAACGTAGAAAAGACACAGGTGATGAAGATACCCAACCAACAACAACAACAACAGCAAACACCAATCACCATGAAAAGGAGAAACCTAAAGGAAGTTGTCTCTTCCACCTACCTACAAACCAAGCAGCATCGTTCCAACTACAGGTGGCACACGTACACACGAGAACTTCAAAGCCAGGATCGGAAAGACAGCAAGACAGCCCCCCCTTCATCAATCTGAAATCAGTGTGGAGATCTACCACACTGAACTCAGCACAAAGAACAAGATCCACATTTTCAACATTAATACCAGTCAATTAAGTGCTTCTATATTGTTCAGAGACTTGGCGCATCACGCAAAGTAATTTCAACAAACTGCAGACATATATCATCAACAGCTGCCGACTACGCTCACTCGATACTGAAAATTCGATGGCCTGAATAATAAGAATAAGCAAGATGGAACTCATTGTGGCAACGAACCAACCAACCGAGAACCCATCACCCAACAAATATGCACTGGAAGCAAGTGGAGATGGATTGGATTGGGCATACACTGGGAAGACCGGTTGGGGATATCAGGTACCAGGCCAGACCGTCAAGTGGAATGCAAATGGGAAACGATGAGTTGGGTGTCCCAACTGAGGTTGGCATGTAGGAGATGGTGTGAGGAAGAAATGAAAGCTTGTTGGGCGGTGATGGTGGCAGGTTGAAAAGACTGTCGAGAAGAGGAGATAGTGGAATGGAGGCGTGTTACTGAAGCCCTATGTTCCACTAGCAACCCAAGTGAAAAGTGATAATAGTAGTAATTTCACTTGTTCACATGGATTTATAACTGTAGAGACTGAAGGAGAAGTTATTGAACACAAGTGTTCGCTCAAATTATTCTTGTTCTGAATGATCAGTATGAGTTACAACCCTTATTTAGGTATATCTATTCCATTTTTTCACTTCATCTGATCATATATATTATCAACTGAATGATTTCCTGAGTTTGTTTGGGTTTGTTGAACTGATAAAACAGATGACTTAATTAATTATAAATAAAATATCCAAGTCGTTACAGAGATTATGTAGGTGGATATTTTAAAGGATTATTAAAAGATGTCCTTATATGCTTAAATATAGAATATTAAGTGACAGAAATGTTTAATAGTAAATCATATGGTCCACATTTACACACAAGAAATCATTAACAGTCATGATGATAGTTATGTAAGTACAAACAGTAAAACTAACCTGACTTAAGTGTTAAAGATCTTTTCATTTCCTGATCACGAGTAGTAGTGAAATACAAGGAGACTGGATTACTTTCTCTTTCCATACCATTGTGCGAAATAATTAGAGTTTGAACACGTACAATATAGAAAGTATTTGGCTTCAGCTGTTTCAGTGCAATCCATGTCTGATCCTACATTTTAAAAATAGAAATAAATAAGCTAAACAGTGTGTAAATTAATTTAATGTTGAATGCAGTGAAGTCAAACGTTTTTCTTGCTCAAATTTCCTGTCAAGTGATGAACAGTTTTAGGCTGAAGATAATCATAATTTGTTAATACTCCAGTTAGGCTGGATTAAGTTAGATTTTTTCGCAAATATACGCGCATATTTCGTATCTGCCTATGCGTTATATTTTTTAAATGCATAAGGCAAAACATACCATCGAATTAATGACTGTATTATTACTATCATTTTTCCCTTGGGTTGCTAGTGGAACATAGGGCTTCAGTAACACGCCTCCATTCCACTATCTCCTCTTCTCGACAGTCTTTTCAACCTGCCACCATCACCGCCCAACAAGCCTTCACTTCTTCCTCACACCATCTCCTACATGCCAACCTCAGTTGGGACACCCAACTCATCGTTTCCCATTTGCATTCCACTTGACGGTCTGGCCTGGTACCTGATATCCCCAACCGGTCTTCCCAGTGTATGCCCAATCCAATCCATCTCCACTTGCTTCCAGTGCATATTTGTTGGGTGATGGGTTCTCGGTTGGTTGGTTGGTTCGTTGCCACAATGAGTTCCATCTTGCTTATTCTTATTATTCAGGCCATCGAATTTTCAGTATCGAGTGAGCGTAGTCGGCAGCTGTTGATGATATATGTCTGCAGTTTGTTGAAATTACTTTGCGTGATGCGCCAAGTCTCTGAACAATATAGAAGCACTTAATTGACTGGTATTAATGTTGAAAATGTGGATCTTGTTCTTTGTGCTGAGTTCAGTGTGGTAGATCTCCACACTGATTTCAGATTGATGAAGGGGGGGCTGTCTTGCTGTCTTTCCGATCCTGGCTTTGAAGTTCTCGTGTGTACGTGTGCCACCTGTAGTTGGAACGATGCTGCTTGGTTTGTAGGTAGGTGGAAGAGACAACTTCCTTTAGGTTTCTCCTGTTCATGGTGATCGGTGTTTGTTGTTGTTGTTGGTTGGGTATCTTCATCACCTGTGTCTTTTCTACGTTCACCTGAAGGAAGTGCCATCCTTGTTGCCTTGACGTGCCTATTCTGTTAGCTTGTTAGTTTTTTCCTGTAGATCTTCCAGCTTGTGTGACATTGGACATAAATCATGATCGGCGAAATCTAAATCTCCTCTTTGGGTCTTTTCATCGGTCCGGTCAGCGTATGCCCCTCTTCTCGCTCCTCACAGTCTGTTGTATAATCTAGTCCATTCCAGTCAACCATAATCAGGAAGATGATTGGTGACAGTAGATGACAACATTTATTTATTTCTGTCTTCACTTGAAGGCATCACTGAGCTTTCCATTGTAGATCAGTTGGCATGTGGTGTTGTCATATAGCTGTTGAATGAGGTTGATAAAGGTTTGTAGCGCTAAAACCGTAGTGTTGAGGCAGCTTCCAAATTACTTGTTGGTCGACGCTGTCGAAGGTCTTTTCAGAGTGGATGAATTTGAGGTAGAGAGTTGCCGTTCAGCTATTCTATGCTGTGTTCTATGATGATGCGTAGTGTAGTGTCGCGATTTTATCCGAACATGATATGTTTTTCCCGAAGCCAGTCTGACAATTAAATCATATAGGTTAAATAATTTTTTTTGCACATTTGAATCGATAGTAAAAATGTCTAGTAACGTGTTGTAAGTTAGTGCCTAACTAGTTACTAAGTCAGAAATAACAAACATACATTTGTACCGAAAATTAGTTGTAAGCAAAGAAGGTAATGTTATGAAATCTCAATTCCAATTGAATTACATTCGTTTAGCTTCTGACTATATAAGTTCAACAGATTGAAAACTTAAGAGACAACTTTAGATTGTCAAAACATGAGAAAGTTATTTAGGTGATATTAGTTATATACTGCTACCAAAACAGCATATCTTTCCATGGACAATCTAGTGTGAACTGGAACCTTTTTCTCTTGTAATACTCTCCATAGAAAGAAGATTGTCCTCAGTGAATTTCACAGATTATTCCACAAAATGAACACAAAACAACTTTGGCACTTTGTTTCACCTAGTTCTTTAGTCAGAAATGTTTGTTTTCTTATGAAAACTTAATATTCATTTGTAACCAGGATGTTCACAAGAGAATGTGAAATGTTGTTAGTTAACTGCAATCGAATCGTTCTTATTGTCATTACTCCGTTTTATGTCCCATATACAACAAATTATTTTGTATCCCAGTGATTAATTTCATTTCTTACAAATTGGTAAAGGCATTTAACACTATTGATGGGTAGTGGCTAACAGTGAAATTCAGGATGTGCCCTTCATCCTACTTAGGATTCATCTGCTGGACAAACCTGCCTTCTTTTGAACAATGTTATTCCTACTGTGATTCAAACCCGGAAGTGATCTCCTCGAATGCCAAAGAGTTTTCCAATAGGCCACCACTTCTTGTGCCCTGGGTATCGTTTTTGTATTCTTACTTGCATTATCCCGTTGTTGATTGGATCGAAATGATTGGCTTCTATTGGTATATGGGTTCCAGCCTGGATTCTTCGACACAAGTAACAATGCCAAGGGACTTAATGCTCGAGAAGAATTATGAACTAGGTTGCATGAACACTTCAATTGATTTATTATATTGTTCATATAAAGAAACAGTATTATTTACTAGGTAATTTTTCTGACACAAATTATTGTCCATTGTCATTATTAAGATCAGATTCATCGATCGACAGTGTTTAAATAACTAGTGAATGACACTGTTTGATCAGTCTGAACCTTGCAAATAATTATCCGAAAACCTTATGTGTAATCTATAAGACTAAATCAGTTTGTTCAACTCTACCTAATCAAATTTTGATACTGATGTCTTTAAACCAATTGGATGTGTTTAACAGAATCAAGCAATGTTGACAGAACTATCACAGGACAAAAAACGCACATTCATTATTCCCATTGTGACATCAAAAACAAGATATTCAGCTAAGAGGACTCTTTCCAACGAATTTATTCTCAAACTGTACATTCGTATATATATGATATTTATAGAGTGTATTCCTTGAAGAAGATTTAACTGAAATAATGGGAGGTTGAAACAATAATAATAATGATGGTGGTGATAATTACAATGTTGATAGTTGATGACGTAAAGGTCGAATGGTAACAAAAAGGGGTTACGTAAGACTTTCAAATCGTTTGTAAAGTGCATATAGATTAAAAGGGGGGTGAGAACGTTAATAACCAATCAAAGGGTTAGGTAATATAAATGAGACAACAGGTTAATTGGAGTAAAATGAAAATGTTTTATTAAGAGTTGAGATAATTAGGAAGATCAAATGAAATTACACCGGAAACAAATAAATACAAAGAAACAGAGTGATAATAATGATATAAGAGTACAAATGTTAATCTGACAAAAAAGGGGGAAGGGGGTGAAAAACGAAAAACTGCAAAACTTCACTTGATCTTTACCAGTCGTAAATTTTTCTCCATTTATATAAAGATAATATCCCCCGACAGGCCACATCTATGTGTATCTACCAGTTCACCTGTTCCTGTGGAGCAAGGTACATAGTCCGTAGTCAGAGATTGCTGTCAACACGCATATGAGAACATATTTCTTCCTGGTCTTATAAGGATTAAACGATATGTATCAGAAGTTCTATCCTTGAACACTAAATCGATTCCAACCATTCAGCTGACCCAAACAAGGATTTCAAGATTGTCTATCGAATTCGCCCTAATACTTCACTTTTCCTCCGTGTTCAACTTTTAAAAACAGCAGACGCTTTGGCTTTAGCTATCCATGAACTGAAGCCTCACCTCTGTGTGCAAAAAAGAAGTATGTACAATCTTTATCTCTACCTTGGCTTTAATTTATTTTAGTCTTGGTGGGCTTTGTCCTTTTTTTTCGTTTTTCACCCCCTTCCCCCTTTTTTGTCAGATTAACATTTGTACTCTTATATCATTATTATCACTCTGTTTCTTTGTATTTATTTGTTTCCGGTGTAATTTCATTTGATCTTCCTAATTATCTCAACTCTTAATAAAACATTTTCATTTTACTCCAATTAACCTGTTGTCTCATTTATATTACCTAACCCTTTGATTGGTTATTAACGTTCTCACCCCCCTTTTAATCTATATGCACTTTACAAACGATTTGAAAGTCTTACGTAACCCCTTTTTGTTACCATTCGACCTTTACGTCATCAACTATCAACATTGTAATTATCACCACCATCATTATTATTATTGTTTCAACCTCCCATTATTTCAGTTAAATCTTCTTCAAGGAATACACTCTATAAATATCATATATATACGAATGTACAGTTTGAGAATAAATTCGTTGGAAAGAGTCCTCTTAGCTGAATATCTTGTTTCTGAAAAATGTACATGTTAACAAAAGAAAAGGTGTCGATTACAATGGGTAAAAATTACCTTCGACAAAACAATAAGAAGACGTAAATTGTCTGAACCGTGTAATGTATTTGCGCAACTCATTTCGAACTATCTGATCACATAATTTACGTCTTCTTATTGTTTTGTCGAAGTTTATAAAGGGAACTAATTGTTTTAAAAATTACCTTGTCAATTACTCTAACATCAGTTTGTTGTATATCCATTATTGGGATGAAGCCGATCTCATCATTATACATTGATTCGTCAACTGGTTCCTGAATTCTAGGTGCCCATATAATTCGATATTTTGTTGAATTTCTGTTCAATTTATTGGTAAGTGAAAGACGTGTATTTTTGTTGACTGTTCTAGTTTTTCTACCTTGACTACTCATTGGTTGTTCCCATGATATAAGATAGTTTAAATTTCCCATGTGAACTACTTTAAGTTGAGTAGGTGGAGAAGGTGGTTCCGGGGCTAAAAAGTAATAGTTATTTTTAGTTCAGAAAATATGTTAGGACGGTTGCGGAAATATTGAAAATTCTTATTTCACTTTTGCAACAAACATATAGACAGGTATCATTATTGTTCAACTTTTCAGAATCATCCTTTGTGAAACTGAGCTTGGAGTTTGTGAGAAAGCACCAGGCTTGAGTTGAATTTATAAGTTTCTTACTGACATTACGGTGTCTTTTGAATGTTCATATTTCCTATCAGTCATCCTCGTGCTGAATAACACATGAAGCTTATACTGTTGAACATAAACTACTGTCAGGTTTTCATCCATTAAACTTAAAACTTTTGGTACGGATTCAACGTCTGTTATCACTGTATGAACGAAGTGGTGCCACACTAGATAATAAAATTTTATGCAGCAAGCATGTTGAAGGAAGCTGATTGTAGATTGGATGCCGGGTTAAAACCCGGTGGCCACTGGTTCGAATCCCATCAAGGCTCAAATTTTACTCCACCTTCAATCATCACCCAGTATCAATACTAGTCTGCCAAACAACGGCTATCTCAAATAGTCAAAACGATGATAAAGTAGGTTAACTATTCGAACCATCTTCATATCCCTATTCTTGATTTGTATACTTTTCTAATGACACTGCTGGATGACGTCCACACGTAGTTGTTTAGACCTCTTCTCTACTTCACTCTTCAATGTGTGGGTGTATGTGTGTGTGTGTGTGTGTGACACGGGGGTAATGAGTGAATTCATAGACTCCTAGATTCATTCTGCGAACGTCTGTCACACCGTTTAATACACTTGTGTCAATGGGAGTAATCAAATAACTAGTATTTCTACCTGGTGATTCAGTCGAATTTAGGTGTCGATTAGGCCGTAGTAAACAATTCCATTAGTGATACAATCTGTGAATGTATTTGTCTAGGCTACAATGAATAAATATGGGTTTTCAGCATACAGTGTTTAAAGCAATCCTGAAACTGCCGAGCACTCTCTTCGGACTGATTGTGAAATAAGTTGCTGGAAGTGTTTGAATTTAGCAAGTTTTGCCACTCAGATATGTGAAGTGGAAGCACAGATCTGAGAATAGAATTCTTGTAATTCTAGCTATTGTGTGTCTCGAAGTAGGTTTCTTCAACCTGGAAGTAGTTACAAGCTTGTCACTCCAGGAGATGAGTATTTCACTATCCTAGTTTGGTGCTACCAGTGGCAAAACTTCATATTTGGAATTCATATACCACAGTCATCAGATGTGTCATGAGAGTAGTTCATTAAGGTGTTCAGGCAGTTCATCTCATCAACATGGGTGTGATGGGTGAGCACTGACCTTTCAGTGACTGTTGAATATTTTATCCAGAATGCAAGCTGCTGGTAATTCTACAGTCCTACACTCCTTTCAGTTGAATATGACTGACAGGGTTGTAACTAACTATCACATGCATAGAGTCTAGACTGGGTCATCAACCATTCAAAAGCCCAGGTCGACAGTTCAAATGTATGACTAAGACCTTATCGTAACTGTTATATATATACATTTATATGGATTCGTTGTGCTCCTCCAAAACAGGTTAATCTTTTTGTTAATATTTAAATGTCATATTCTGTCGGAAAGTTTTCATTCAACGAGATAGCACGATAATCATAGCTACCACAAAATTGAATTCTGTATAATTAGCGGCATTTTGAGAGAAGCCATGGGGGAATTGAAAATTTGAATGGAATTTTAACCACAAGGGTTAAAAATTCTTTCGTCACCACACGTCTTAAATCTCTTTGCGAACCATGAGGCCGAAAAAGGCCTGACTTGATAAACGGTAGATGGTGAAATGATCAGAATGGTGATGAAGCATTGAGACTCTGTGGAGACAACAAATCTTAGGTTCTAATAAGGTCCAATTTAACACAGCACAGAGATTGGGAAGAATTTAGTTCAGGTGAATCATAGGTAAGTGTATCTCATAGTTTACAAATAAAATCCGTAAGTTTCTTATCTGTCACTACTACCAAACCCTCTATTCTCATGGGTGAAACCGAGAAAGTTGAGTTAACAGAGATGACGGTAACAAGACTTATAATCTTAGTGTATTGTTTATAACTAAAAAGTACAAAAAGGAATACTCCAATATGGTTACCTGGTGCTGGACAGTCATCTGGTGGTTCACCGTGGTTCACCTCAACATCTAAACACGATGGTGTACAGAAACAAGCATAATAATCTCTCGAGTCAAAATAACGATTCTCCGTTGAAATTGCCGATGTCACCATTCTGAGATATGTTTCGTCGAAAACTCCTTTATATACTCGAATTCGTACACTATAACGGCAGTTAAAATAAAGATTTTCAAAGACGACCTTCTCATCCTTAGAGAATAACAAAAAAGGAAAAGAGATGATGTAATGAGATGGTTGGTAGTTTAATTGTGCGAAATAACAGTATAGTCTTCATACTGCTGTATGAGTTACAGTGTGTTGGCTAATGACATTTTCTTAATGCTCAAAGTCAGGTTTGTAGAGAGAAACTTTAGATCTAGTACTTGTACTACTGGGTAAACTACGCTAACTGAGTTTCAGTATACCAGTAAACGAAAAAAGTTCAGTAAACCAGTGAAGTAATATGCGTTTTATAGTTACCTTTAAAGTGTTATTGAAATCATAAACTACACCTAGGAGTTTAAATACAAAATACACTTTTCTTCGTTATAGAAAATTACTGAATAGAATGAGAGTGAATAACTTGTTAGTAGATCTTTTAAATGTTCTATAGAATTACTTCATAAGAAATTCGAATTATTATTATTATTTGTCCCTTGGGTTCCTAGTGGAACATAGGGCTTCACTAGCACATCTCCATTCCACTCTCTTCTCCAAAATCTTTTGAACCTGTCTCCACAACAGCCCGCAACCTCTCATTTATTCCTCACATCATCTCCTCCATGTCATCCTCGCATCAAACGCCCAACTCGTCGCTTCCCATACAGGTTCCACTCGAGTGCCTAGCCTGACACGTGATATTCCCAGTCAGCCTTCTCACTGTATGCCCATCCACCAATCCAATCCATCTCCACTTCCTTCCACTGCATATTTGTTGAGTGATAGCTTCTCGGTTGGTTCACCAGCCAGTCAGCCAGCCAGCCAGCCAGAGTTGCTACTCGCTCATTCTTATTATTCTCGCCATCCATCTGATCTTCAGTATTGAGCCAGTCAGTGTAGACAGTTGTTGATGAATATCTGTAGTTTGTTGGAAATCCCTTTCGTAATGCGCCAAGTCTCTGGGCCATACAGAAGCACTGATTTGACTGGTATTAAAGTTGAAAATGCGGATGTTGTTCAGGCTTTATGCTGAGTGCAGTGCAGTGTAGTACAGTGCATTGCAGTAGATCTCCACACTGGTTTCAGGTTAATGAACGCCTGTCTTGCTTCTAAGAAATTAGAATGGATCTTGTCAAATAGTAGAAAATACCAACACTTCTTATTATTCCTTTATTTTGACATCTAAAATGACTGAAATACATGAAACGTTTAGATATAAGTCTATAGAGGTCAGTTTCAAAAAACATGCACAAACTGTTTCAGTTACGAGATGATGCAGTGTAATAGTGGTACCCAAAAGTTACATTTTTGTCTCCATGACTAATTGGCAGTACAGTGAATACACATAACAATTCCTGGAATAAAACGAGGTAAGTCTTCATAGACTGTCTGAACATATTGTTAGGAATCCATTCAATAGAATCATGTACTTTACTATATACTGAATAGTGAAACAAATAACTATCCCGGTATATTGAAACAGGATTCGTTAGATGAAGAAAGAGGAAAAACTAAGGGGATAAATGGGTAACATTGTGCAAGTTTCATTATATGTAGCAAATGTAAAAATTATCCATTGTTTTCAAGACTACTGGTTGTACTTACGTTCAGGTTTCTGTTTGCATCTGTAGTCATTTTACATGACAAGGAAGATTTATGTAAAACATCACTGAGAAAGTTACACTGATTGTTACAATCGTATATTCAATGCGTACTTATTAACAATTTCTTTATGTTTCAATGCGTATTGACTATCTGGTGGTTAGAAAAGCTTGGCTATATCTTTTATGTATCGAAGACTCTTTGTAAGATTGTAGCAAAAAAATATATAACCTCAATCACTTGAATTGCAGTCAAGCTTTTTAATGTTCATTAAACTCCCCTTTGTTGAGAGTAATCATACGATCGTAGTAAGTTAAGTGTTCTCAAAGTCATGGTCGAAATATGGATTTGGTCACCTCATCCTAATGTACAGCTTATCCATCACAGTGTTTTTCTATGACAACGTATACTTTTTCATCAGCCAAAATCAAAAGTTAACAATTGACTGCTTTTAGGAGGGAAACCACTAGTGACTTAATTTTACTGACTGAAGGAGTTTTTTTCCAAAGAATATCCTATTAAATACATTATACGAAAACTCATAAAAACAGGAGCAAGGGTTCACTGACAGATCTTTGAAATATTCCATTTATATACTTGTGTATGGAGCTTAAAATGTTGTCAATAACTGGTCCGGATTTAATACTCATTTCATCAGACCACTTGATCCAGCATAAGATGGTTCGAATCTAATATAGTCACAGATTATGGATGTAGTCTGTAGTCCAAAACACTAACTTCTTATTTCTATTGCTCAGGTCAAGAGGTATATCATGAATTATCACCTAATTTTTAATAATTTAAGATTATGAACATACTACAATCGTACATCGTTCAAATGATAACACATTACTACTTGAAATGATTGTAGCTGGACAATTATCCTCCTGTTTTTATCCCTTGTCATCATAGAGTAAATATCAAAGTAATTACACTCGGGGCAGCTTAAAGGCTTACAGAATTCTGAATTTCTGTAACCTTTGGATTGAAAAAAACAAAATGTATAGTAATGGAATAACTCTACAAAATAGATGTTGATAACTGAAATAAATTTAATAATATTTGCTGCAAAATATGCAAAATGACATACTTTAGGTTTCAATATCATTGTATGAGTTATTGTAGTTGGTGAAGGATCATTTGAATCGATGCAAACTTGTGGGAACCACTGGATAAGCATTGTAGAATCCTCCTCAATGGCTGCGTTCAATAGAAACAAAAATAAAGGAGTTGTAAGGTGACTAAAATAAGTCAAGATATGTTAATGATGGATTGTGGCTAGCAGTGGAATCCAGTATGCGCATTTCTCGCAGCTGACGAGTTCCAAATAAGACGAAGTGCACATCCTGGATTCCACTGCTAGCCATGATCCATCATTAACATAATTAGAACACCGGCAATATCGAGGCATCCACACAGGAGCCCATATGCCGATAGAGACCGATCAATTCGGTCCAATCAACGATCGTATCACATAAAAAAACAATTATACTATAATGTATTTTTGAGATGAGTGGGGATTTTTCAATTTAGAAGTAGTATTCATCATGGACTGATCTCAGTTGGGGAACTATTAAAAATCCGGAAGCACTAGACAGCTGCTTCGTCCAACTAGTATGGGACTCCTCACCACTACGCACCCACAACACGGCTACGCATCGAACTCACGACATTCGGGTTTCACGGTGAACGCGTTAACCACTCAGCCACTAGGTCGGTTTCCAGTGGTTCACAATTTCCAACTTATGTCAATTCACGATATAGCGCGACTATCACCCAAGGTCTTCAGTTAGCATCCACTTCACTTCCGACTGATTGACCCCACAGGCCGTGGCTTCTTGGGTGATACTCACGCTATATAGTGAATTGACAGAAGTAGTAGAACATGGACAACTGATAACCGACCCAGTGGCTGGATGGTTAATGCTTTCGCTTTGAGACCTGAATGTCGTGAGTTCGATGCGTAGCGAGGTTGTGGATGTGTACTGGTGAGGAGTCCCATACTAGTTGGACAAAACAGCTGCCCACTGCTCCCGGATTTTCAATAGTTCCCCAACTGATGTCAGTCCATGATAAATACTACTTCTAAATTATACTATAAGTCAAGATAGTTTGAAGTTAAATGTTGACAACAAGGGGACTTGAACCTGAATTCACCAGGAAAAAGTACTTTAAGCCCAAAGTGAACTCATTCGCCTTACAAAATAACAACTGTATTTCTGTTATCTTTTAGTAAACACGCTCCCTACGAAAACTTTCGCTTGACTTATCAAATTGTTAAGATGTCAGTAACCATGGCATTTAAGGTTCCAAAAATCCTATCCTTTGCTAGTTGTTCAACAAAATGGTTCAGTGGGGAGAAGAAAAAGAAGAAGAGAACGAAATCATGCTGTTGTGGGTGGAAAAGTTAGAGTAGATTCTAAAGCCACTTAGCAGAATATATAGATTTCATATTAATATTGTTTAACTATACTGTAAAATTCTACGTTAGAATGGCATTGAAGATGTTGTCATCTAATTTTTCCTTACCTTTAATAACGGAATAGAAACGTTGAGTTTAATGAGTTCAGATATAGGATAATTTCAACGCTTCATTTTATCTTCTTACTTACTCACGGAGTTAAGGTTGGAAGAGTACTAACAGCGTGAAGATATGATTGCTGTTAGATCATAAAATTTGACTCTGGAATTCATTTCCAGCTTGAGCACAAATATAACAGTACAGTATTATGAATGGCTGTGACTGAGCACAAGTTGTACAATACTGTTAACATTTAAAAGTAGAATGTAGAACTTATCAACACATCTTAAAAATGAATGAGATTATATCAATTTTTTTCAAATGGTGAGTGATAAATTTTCGGCTGAAAGCATGATGACACTCGCATACCAATTCATTTTGCACCATGAGACTATATGTAACATTTTAACTCACCAATCTATTCCATCTACCGATAAAAATGTGGCTGAGTAACCGTAGGTTATGAAGTAGACTATACGGAAAGAAATGATGTAATCAGACGCTCACTTTGTATTTCGTATATGTCTGGAAAGGAATTACTTCAACTTTGTCACTGGCATTTCATGGATATCTGCAGTGCCTTAAACTGCTAAGCCTTGTGACATGATTTGATCACCCTGAATAGACGCTGTCGAAATAAATGGATCAACTCAGATATCTCATCATATTTCTTACTCAACAACATGAGTCAGTAAAAAAGAGGTGAAATAAACACAATTAAGAGGAACTTACAGATGTTTATATGAAGTACGGCATTTAACCTCTTGTTGTCATAGAATATTCTCTTCAATAAAAGAGGCTGTAAAGTTGATCCACATTCACAAGTGGGTAGATTTGGTTGTAGTGAAAGTTCTGCTGATGATTTTACTACAAAAAACAACAAAAGAGGTGTGTAATTAGTTTTGGTCAACTTTTCAATAATATCTTGAAAATACATGATAAAATTAAAGTTTAGGTACCCCAGAAGTCAGACTGACTTGATCTCATGATTCTTGAAATCTAACCATTTATAACCTGAGAACACTCATTCATACACTTAAAAGTGTGAGTAAAGAGAAAGTACCGCAGGTGGTATCAAATCATTTAAATACGCTGTACATGAGACCGATAAACAGATGGATTATGGGTTTCTGTAGATAAGACTAAGAGCCTGATATAACACTGGAGAGTCATGGTTGCTAACCGCCGAGGAGTCACATAATTGGACGAAATTTTTCCAGTTCTACTAGGTTTCCAGTAGTTATCCCGCTCATGTCATTCCGTGATGAATACCATCTAGGAGTCAACAAATCCCTACGAACCTTCTAATTGAGATGGAATTTTCGGAAGTGCTAGTGAAAAGTCGTAACCAGTGGGGTAAACCAAGTTGGGATTGAGGAAAAATACTCACCGATGTCATTGGATGGATGTTGCTCTGTATGGCAAGTTGAAAAAAGTAGGAAAATGTGGACCAGTGTATTCCAACCCAGTGACTTAACCGTGACGTCCTCAATGCAAAACCTGAAAGTTCTAGGTTTGATCCCTGGCGAGGTCGTGGGTGAGTACTACTGCGAAAGCTCTTACCAGGACGAAATGGCTATCCAATGGTCCCAGATATCTATAAGTTCTCCAACTAATGTCAATCCGTGATGACGTCACCTTGAAATCCCTAAGAAGACTGAAAAATACTCAGGCACTCTTCGTTTTGACACAAAAGCTCCGGAAATAAGTCATCTCGACTAGGTGTTGTTCACTAGGTATTCAAGAATGAAATAAACCGTCCAATTTTAGTCTGACATTCCTAGAAGGGTAAGTCGTTGGGAGACAGCCTTGTTAGATGACATCAAAATAAGCCTAGAAGACAACATTATGAGCATTGAAATACTGGGCATGAACACTTTTGAAACTATTGGGTAGAATAATAGAGTCTGAGACCTGTTAACATATTTCGCTTTTACGCTGTTGTCTTTTTGACAAAATTATGTTGGGTGAGCCAGTTTAGTTTGTTCTACTCTGCACGAGATTCATCACAAGGTTTCATAATTACCGTAAATTATATCGATAAGAAAATAATGGGAAAAATCACAGTTTGTGCAAGACATTCAAAAGAAACTAGTAGGAGTTCGTCTTTTTTCTTTCGAAAGACCAACATGTACTAACTCCTTCATCATGATTTTTTGATGACATATATCGTAACAAATGCGAGCAGATGTGAAGATAAAAGACAATATCTGCTGATTTCAGGTTGACATTCACCATAGACCGACATCAGTTAGAGAACCACTGGAGACCTAGAAGTACTTTACAGATTATTTCATCCAGGTATGGGGCTGCTCAGTAGTCCGCACCCATGACGTCGCCGGATATCGAACCCGGGACCCTCGGGTTCTAAGGCCAGCAAGTCGCCACTAAGCCACTGGGTGGACATCCAATGGCCTACATTCCCTACTTCCCTACTCCTATCATGTAGCAGCGTTCATCGAACAGTTAAAAGGGAACCACAAATTAGACAGCCTGTGTAAAAAAACACTGCCTTTTCTAAGCACTATCATATCTGCAAGAAACATTAGTTTAGGGCTCAATTTACTGAATTATTTTAAAAAATATGAAAGGATCTTGTAGTATGTATAAACTCACCTTTTCTAGCTGGTATTGGTGTTTGTACTGGCTCAATGTTTTGTTGATGAAAAGCTGGATGTATTGACTGAGTTGAAAGAAAAATAGTATTTGGTTGTGATTCTAAACTACCGAACCCATACCAGTGAGAAACTGCCTTTACCTATCGAAAGAGAAGAAGAGTAGACAGTAATAGTTTCATCCGAATAATAAACGGTTATATTTACAGTGTCAAAGTAAGTATAAGAATAAATGTTATACTTGTGATGATAGAGCAGTTATTGCTTATAATCACAAAAAATTACTTATGAAAAACACCAAATTTAGCATATATGATAACAGATTTGTTAGTGGAACACAAACATGCCTGATTTGTATTTGTCTAAGACAAAAATATAACTGAACGGGCTAGCCAATGTACTGGTAATTTTTTAGTCTTGAAGTAATTATCTGGTAAATGCACACACAGTACAGTACAATATTCATCCTGGCCTACATGCTAATCATATGAAGAAGTATCCATTACTTCATCAAAGATTTTCTACCTTAGCTACTAATATTACCACAGTATAGGACAATTTGGTGTGTAAAATCCCTTCAATCATTTTAATGGAGACACTGTAGAATACAATATCAGATTCCTGTGACTAAGAAAATGATGATTGTACATTTTTTTTCTATTCATAGGATCAACATGTCCAGGGTATTCTTGACCCGTAGCTGATATTTTACAATTTTCACCCTCGTATGACATATACGAAGTACACTAACTGTTGGATTTTTTGTAGTTATGATTGGAACGAACAGACAGACAAAAACTTAGCAGTAAAATGACACACTACTATAAAAATATAAGTAATAAACGGATACATACCTGAATTTTGTATGATGTTACTGGCTTGAGGTTGCGTAAAACGCATTCTGTACGTTCCTAAAGTGGATAAAGTGAAATAAAAAGTTTTTTTTCGACTCGATTCAAGTTTTTCTCATTGTAAGTAATCAGTTTCCCTTCATTCAATCAAGAAATATGATTGATATTTAGCTAATACAGGAGTAAAACTTGGGCAATGTAGTAGATTGTAATTTCATTTTAGTCTGTTTATTAGGAATGTCATGCAGTGAGACATTATCATCTACTGGATAACATTTCAGATTTAATTTATTCTCCATGTTCATATAATGCAGAAAAAAGATATCAAATTCAAGCAATAGGAATTATTCTCCACCTTTCCTAGTTATATGGAAATTAGACAACCCTTATCAAAAAGTAGGAGAGAAAATTAGGATACTACATAAACTATTTATTGAAATACTTGTTATTCTTCGTTGTTTTGTTGGATCGAATTGTTCGACCCCCACTGGCATATGGGCTCTTATGCGGATGCCTTGACGTTTGAAGTGATGGGTACAAGGTTCGAGTCCCAGTGGGAACAACACCACTGACTGCGGTGCTGGTACATCCAGGTGACGAGTCCCAAATAGGACGTAACGCGCATCCTGGATTCTTCTGCTAGCCACAACCAACCAATTTATCATAATTAACATTCAGGGAATATAGAGGCATCGGCATACCAGCCCATATTGCAGTAGAGGTTGAACAATTGTATCCAACAAAGCAACCGAGAATAACAAGTACGTCAATAAATAGTAATAACTATCACCCATTGTACAACAAGCAGCTACCACTCCTCTGTGGCTTAGTGGACAACGCCTTGGCGTTCGAAGCATGGGTGTGGGGTTTGAGTCCCGGTGGGGACAATGTCATTAGGGGCCAGGCATATCCAGCTGACGAGTCCCAAATGGGATGAAATGCGCATCCTAGATTCTTCTGCTAGCCACAACCAACCAAGTTACTATATAAACTGTCTCGAAGTTATGAAGTTACCTGATATGGTTGCAAACAAAAGGTATAGTCGAAACGTTATCCAGTAAATGATACTATGTACACTACGTACAGTCATCATATTTCTTCAACAATCTGACAATATGGAACTATCCATGTAGAAAATACTCAAATCAAGTTGTTTTCTATAAACTTCTAGTTTACGATAACTTTAATAAAAACTTTATATAAAATATAAGATTCTAATTTCATCTTGCTCAATTTTCAATGCAGAAGTTTTTCTGCGTAAAGCCAACTCAGTTCCTTATAGTATATTCTGTCTATTTTTGAAAAGCGGATTTTTATTACTGAAGCCAGATATCAAGAGAGATTGTATGCTGATATGTTGATGAAGTTCATAACTAGATTAAAGAGGAAGGAAAGCTTTTGTGAATCTTAAGTAGATAGTAGAATCTTGAAGGTATGATTTTCAACCAAACTCAGCTATTAACTCTGGGTTTCACTTCCTGAAGTAGTTCATTTTTGCTCTGTGTTTTATTCTTTTCATTTCAGTGGTCATATACTTTCACGAAATTCCAAATTGTTATGGATATCTACAAGTTGTAGATTCCACTTCTGACTAATACTGTTAACTATACTTTTTCAATTTGTATTTTATGAGGATTCTATTTATTTCAAAGTAGAATTCATCACGAATGGACAATAGTTGTTAGACCATTGAAAGCTTAGGAGTAATGGATAACTGTTTCCTCATAGTATGAGGCTTCTCAGCAGGAATCAAACTCGAGATCTTCTAGTCTCCTTTTACATGATTTCTTGTTATTCAGTTAAGGTGACACATAGTTATTTGCTTTGTTAACTATTCATACACTAACCGATTCTATCACATGAAGTAGGCGAATCACCTTGGAATGATTGTCATATATACCTGTCTTGTGAGTCATTTGTTTTCAACTCGAATCTTACTTTATCAGTAAGTGTCAACCGTCCCCTTGAACTTTCAACTACGGAGTGACTGAGAGTTATTCATGATAACTATTTGAGTCAAAGTTGTGAAGTTACCTGATATGGTTGAGAACAAAAAAGTATGTCCAAAACGTTATCCAGTAAATGGAATTACATTCTACAGCAGTGTCTAGTTCGCACATCAATACGTAATTTCTGCTTTTAAATGATTCATTATTCGTTTTTCTGTCCCCATCCAATTTGTCACACGAACTTACGTTCTAACAAGATATATGTTCGTGATATCATTGACGACATTCTGACATTATTTCACTTCGAACAGTCTCCCTACTTCGGTATATTGTTGGGTAGTTTTCATTGAACTCACTGAAGTGAAATGTTAATATCTTGATGTAATTTGTTATTGTAAACATTTTAAGTTGTAAGTAGCTGGCGAAAATCATGGAAAGAATAAAATGGATTGATATCATTCTACTCCAATGTTTCTTCTTACCCTTTTAAAGTTCATAAAGGGAAATATGTGCATGAAATTTCTTTTTTTATCTTGTAAATTAAAAAAAATCTCGCCTTGGATATGAGACGGCATTCTTTTTTCTTTCAGAGAGTACACGTAAGCGCTAAAACAATTAAAGAGAGTGCTGAAAGAACGATTGCGGTGTTAAATAGTTTGTTGTTGATGAAAACTGACTGATGATCAAGTCAGTATCAATACTTTAGATCTTTCATGATGCCAAACTAAGTCATTAGATTTTTTATATTTCTACCTAGGTATTTTATAAACTCAGTCCCAAAGCATCAAACTTTGGTTTTATAACTTCGTTGTAGGGAACTATTACGTTCAAGCGGTCTAGTAAATTCACTCCTACAAGTCAACAGATAATTGTATCATTATGATTAAGCTATCACCAAAGGATTTTATTCCTCAAAGACATAGACATTTAAGAGTAGTCTGTTGGGAATGAAGTGGCAAGGTCAAATATTCGTCCTCCTGAGTATTATCATAGGGATAAAACAACATGAAACAATCTCATCTCATTGTGTATGACTTACTGCACTGACAGTTTGTGTGAATTGAATGAGCGCCTCAAGAGATCGTCCATCCGGTTGCAGATAACCATGGTCAATAGACCAGTTTATCTGCCAAAGAAAGAGAAGAATAGTAGTATCCTATAAGTAATATATATGTCCATAAATACTGAAGAAAATCATAATGACTGACCTCTGTGGTCATGGCATAAAGAAGTTAAACTTACCAGATATTCACTAACTGGGAGATCACTATGAATCGGTGGTTGCCATCTTAACAGGAGACTAATTTTACCTGAGGAATACAATCTCCACATTGAATCTGTTACATTTCTAGGTGGTCCAGGTGGTTTTGGCTTCACTGGATCTATTGGATAGGCTTTTGTACTTAAACCAAATCCTCTTGTACCATGTATGCTGACAGCAGCAATACGAAATTGATACAATCGTCCAGGTTCAAAAGCTTCAAGATTGGCTCCAAATTCATGCGTCTAAAAATGACAAAATAAAATAAAATTACCAGTTAGTTTTTTCTTACTGAAGTGAACTAATTTGAATACAGTACATTCAAACAAGTACACGTTGAAGCTTTTGGTAATATTATTAATTATATAAAGTTGACTAGCAATATCAAATAAAACAAACTAAAAAGAAATTACTACTACTTGGTTATATTTTGTTTATTCCAGCTATCATAGTTTTGACCTTGAAAACACAGGACAGTTTAATTCAATGCAGCTACACATTATTTCCATTACACCACAGGATATTTAAAGATGACAATATAAGATCGGTTTTCATTACCAGTGAACACAGAAGTGAAACAAGACTGTCTACTATCACTCATGATATTCCTGATCATCGTCGACTGGACTCGATCATGCAACAAACAGTGGGGAGCTGTGAGAAGAGGGGGATACGCTGGCTGGACTGCAGAAAAGAAACTAGAAGGAGATTTGGATTTCGCCGACGACTTGTGTCTGATGTCACACAAACGTGAAGATCTACAGGAGAAAACTAACAAGAAGATGTGACTTCAAGTGAATATATAGAGAAAACATATGTGATGAAGATACTCAACCAACAACAACAACAGCAAACTACAATCACCATCAAGGTGAGAAACTTAAAGGAAGTAGCCTCCTTCAACCATCTAGGAAACACTGTTCCAACTACACGCGACACAGGCACACACGACAATGTCAAAGTGAGAATCGGAAAGACAGCAAGACAGGCCTCCCTTCATTAACCTAAAACCAGTGTGGAGATCTACTGCACTGCACTGTACTACACTGCACTGCACTCAGCATAAAGCCTGAACAACATCCGCATTTTCAACTTTAAGACCAGTCAAATCAGTGCTTCTATATGGCCCAGAGACTTGGCGCATTACGAAAGGGATTTCCAACAAACTACAGATATTCATCAACAACTGTCTACACTGACTGGCTCAATACTGAAGATCAGATGGATGGCGAGAATAATAAGAATGAGCGAGTAGCAACTCTGGCTGGCTGGCTGGCTGACTGGCTGGTGAACCAACCGAGAAGCTATCAGTCAGCAAATATGCAGTGGAAGGAAGTGGAGATGGATTGGATTGGATTGGATTGGATTGGGCATATAGTGAGAAGGCTGACTGGGAATATCACGTGTCAGGCTAGGCACTGAAGTGGAGCCCAGATGGGAAATGACGATTTGGGCATCCCTGGTGAGGGTGACATGGAAGGGATGGTATGAGGAGGAGATGAGAGGTTGTGGGCTGTTGTGGAGACGGGTTCAAAATATTTTGGAGAAGAGAGTGGAATGGAGATGTGCTAGTGAAGCCCTATATTCCATTAGGAACCCAAGGGACAAATAATTTTAATACCAGTAGGTTTCGTGTGATAAATTTAAGATAGACGAAACTGTGGAATAACTCAACAAGATGGCTGAGTAGCATCATATCATACACATTCAATCATAAAATAATCATTTCAGATCATGGAACTGCTGACGTTCACTTCTTATCATTGTCAGATGTATCTTTCTGAAAGATGGTGTGACAGGTTCTAAGAAGTTTGACATTTTAAATTTTTGTTAAATTATATAATCTTTTGATGATAGTGACCTTAAGTTTCAGCAATGATTGACTGTTTTCGACTTAAAAGAAAATCTCAACCAGGGTAGCATGCTTTATTCCAGTGAATTCGAATAACTGTAAATGAACAATCTAACCTTAAAGACTAACACCATATTGTTTTACTTTGTACGGCAATAATTCAACAACTGAATATCCTTGTTTTCCTTACCATACTGGATGTCTTATTATCAGCATTTTTATAGTGTAAAATAAGGTTTCTATAATCAAATTTTGAGGGAGTTGGGGAGATTTGGAATTATTTCAAGTTGTTATTCATCGTAGACTGACTGGCTGGCCACGGAATCTGAAGGTCGTGAGTTCTATCCCTTGTGGTGTGGGGTCGTGGGTGCGCACTGCTTAGGAGTCACTTACTAGGACGAAACAGTTGTCCAGTGCTCCCAGGTTTCCTTTGTTCCTTCAACTGATGTCAGTCTACGATGAATAGCAAATTGAAATAATTTCTATAATCCTCATAAAAATATCCAAAATCATTTGAAGCTGTCTACAGCTAGTTAAGTTATGCCGAAGTTGCGAGAAAAAGCACACGAACCAACGTGTAAATATCAGATAGTTTTAAAGAATGAAAATTAATAGGGCATTAAAATCTAGGAAGGTTTAATAATAACAAAGGCCGTTGTAAATATAAATAAACCCTCGTATTTTGTACATATTTCTGACGCTACAGGACACTTTTTTTACCATTTTTTTCATTTATCGAAAGATTGAGCAACCAGCATATTGGTTGAACGTTATTTAAGTTATATCAAGTAGTCACTACAAGAATATAGGAAGTAACAACGAGGTTATAACAATTAGTGACAGAATTATAACTGAATAAGTATTCAACTGAGTACTGTAGAATTCCGAACTATAATGAAATAGGTGTTTAACATACCCAAGTTTTCAGTAGTTTTACAAGGAGATATCAATTCACCAAGGGAACAATCTTTCAATTAATCATTTCCTTCAAAATAATCTCAATTAACCAACATAATTTTCATTTGCTTAAATTTCATCATGAGAAAAATATGATTTTAAATCTTGATCTATTTACAAACCTTGATTTTTGTGAACTGAAATCTGTTCATTAAATATGAAAGTAAATTCAAGCCATTTTAAATAGCGACCAACTTCATATGCCCTTCAATGAAAGACAAAACCTCAGGGAATGATAACTACATTGATATAACAGCTAAGTATTAGCTGTTAATACATAACTCAATTGACAAAATAAAAAGTTGAAAGTAGACCAAAACATTAAGTTTATAGTCATGTAATTTAGATGTAATTACAAAACTTTTAAAACTATCTCGGTTTATTTATTTGATATAGGAGATATTGATACAGCAAGTGGTAGCCTCTTTAAAATCTTAGGTTACTAAAAAGTTGCAAACAAATATGTAGAAGAAAGTGGAGATGAATTGGATTGAGCATACACTGAGAAGGGTCACGCGTCAGGCCACGCCGTCGACTGGAACCCAGAAAGGAAACGACGAGTTGGGTATCCCGGCCGAGGATGACATGGTGGAGACCATTATCATTTGTCCCTTGGGTTCCTGATGGAATATAGGGCTTCACTAGCACATCTCCATTCCATTCTCTTCTCCAAAATATTTTGAACCCGTCTCCACAACAGCCCACAACCTCTCATCTCCTCCTCATACCATCCCTTCCATGTCACCCTCACCAGGGATGCCCAAATCGTCATTTCCCATCTGGGCTCCACTTCAGTGCCTAGCCTGACACGTGATATTCCCAGTCAGCCTTCTCACTATATGCCCAATCCAATCCAATCCAATCCAATCCATCTCCACTTCCTTCCACTGCATATTTGCTGACTGATAGCTTCTCGGTTGGTTCACCAGCCAGTCAGCCAGCCAGCCAGCCAGAGTTGCTACTCGCTCATTCTTATTATTCTCGCCATCCATCTTATCTTCAGTATTGAGCCAGTCAGTGTAGACAGTTGTTGATGAATATCTGTAGTTTGTTGGAAATCCCTTTCGTAATGCGCCAAGTCTCTGGGCCATATAGAAGCACTGATTTGACTGGTCTTAAAGTTGAAAATGCGGATGTTGTTCAGGCTTTATGCTGAGTGCAGTGCAGTGTAGTACAGTGCAGTGCAGTAGATCTCCACACTGGTTTTAGGTTAATGAAGGGAGGCCTGTCTTGCTGTCTTTCCGATTCTCACTTTGACATTGTCGTGTGTGCCTGTGTCGCGTGTAGTTGGAACAGTGTTTCCTAGATGGTTGAAGGAGGCTACTTCCTTTAAGTTTCTCACCTTGATGGTGATTGTAGTTTGTTGTTGTTGTTGTTGGTGGTGGTGGTGGTGGTGGTGTTTGTGGTGTTGTTGGTTGGGTATCTTCATCACATATGTTTTCTCTATATATTCACTTGAAGTCACATCTTCTTGTTAGTTTTCTCCTGTAGATCTTCACGTTTGTGTGACATCAGACACAAGTCGTCGGCGAAATCCAAATCTCCTTCTAGTTTTTTTTCTGCAGTCCAGCCAGCGTATCGCCCTCTTCTCACAGCTCCCCATTGTTTGTTGCATGATCGAGTCCAGTCGACCATAATCGGAAATATCATGAGTGATAGTAGACAGTCTTGTTTCACTTCTGTGTTCACTGGTAATGAAAACCGATCTTATATTGTCGTCTTTAAATACTTCGTGTTAGTATTGAAGCAGTTTCCAAATTACCTCTCGGTTGGTAAAGACCATATGAGGAAGAAATGAAAGCTTGTGAGCAGTCGTGGAATGAGGTTTAAAAAGACTGTAGAGAATAGAATGCAATGAAGATATGCTACTGAAGCCCTATGTCCCACTAGGAATCCAAAGGAATAATAATAATAATGAAAGGAAGCTGCCATCTTGTACATTACATCAAGTTACTCCTTTTGATTATTCAGATGTCAACAAATAGTAACTTAGGTTATATCAAGAAGTCACTTGAAAGATATAATAGTTGACAACAGGGTTTATGATACTATTTCAAGTTTTATTCAATCTATAATTTCGAAGTTGAAAACTGCTTATTGTATATAAACTACTTACCATGATTAATGTTTGCCATTTAGATGAATAATTTTCATCAAATACTTGACATGTACATATTCGTACTTGTAGAATGAATACAATTGGATTCAATGGAGTAGTTAAATCTTTATACAGATCAGACCAAAATAATTTCATAATATTAGAGTTAGTTGATGATACTGTTGAATTAAGATATATTGATAATGGAGGAACAAGTTCATTATAAACAGGCTATAGAAAAAGAAATAAAATGTAAATAATTTAGGTAGATTATTATGTAAAGGTATTTACACTCAATAAAAGGTATTACACAACATATTCCTATATGGAAAGCTCATTTAAAACTGGAATATTCTGTAATCAAAATTTGATTTCAGATGAAGATATTAACTAGACTGTAGATGATATGAAGTACTTTTCAATAAAAATTTGCTATCTACCGAAACACAAACCTCAGAAATATGTGAAGCCAGTCTCTATCTAATAGAAACATCTAGACTAAGATGATGATGACAGCAAGATGAAAAACCATTTTTAACTATTGGATATGAACTTATGTGATTCAACAGTACACTGAGATGTTGACAATGACTGTGACTATTGTATCATCAAAGTGAGTCAGACATACTATTTGGTTGTCAGTCCAGTTGATATAATTTTGTCTGAACATTACTTCAGGAATAGAGAACGAGAGAACATTACATAAAACAATGCGTAAAGTTTTTAGATTCAACCATTTTTTTTTTCAATGTTTTGTGACATTACTAGGATACCTGGTATAGTGACTTGTAATTGACTGTATCGTGAGATAAAATAACTCGCGCTACGGATTAATTTCATTACTGATTACTTCATGTTGCTTTGCACTAATGAAATAGATCTCTCTGATAATTTAACTGTCACTCAGGGATCACTGGAAAACGTAGGTCTAGTCTAGTCTTCGGTTTGCCTCTTTTTATCATAGTATGTTTACACTTTTCTGTATCACACAGATACTACCCTTTTTAGTTAGAATCAATAGTGATGACTATAATATGCAGTGAGGTAGTGTATTTTCTGATCCACTGTAATACACTGTCAGAACACACGTGTTATGTTGGAGGGAAAGTTACGAATAGTTTGTAGAATGAGAATGCTGTTAAGACAAGCATTAGATTTCATCCAAGATACAGACAAAGTGAACTAAATAACATATGTAGTCTACTTGGTGTCTAACAGTGGAGTTCAGGACTCGTGTTTCATCCTATTTGGGACTCGTCAGACGGATGTACCTGCATCCCAGTGGGTAATGTTCCCAATGAGATTCAGACCTCATACCCATCACTTCGAACAAAGAATAGCATCTGTGTGATTTGCTGCTTCATTCAAAAACAGGAATTTGTAGAGTATAGCACGGTGCATTTTCTAGGAGTCAGTTCATTATCACTCCCCCTTTATGGTAAGATTTCAGAGTTACGATAAACTTTAGTCAGATTATAGTAAGTTATTCACCTCTATTTAAGTTCAATGCCTAGTAATTCCCAATAACTAGTGAATAAATACACATTAGCAAAGGCATATATCCTGTTGTTCTTGTAATACATGTTAACATTGATCCATTCCAAAATATCACAGTCCTTTTAAAGCTTCATTTCAGTTAAAAGAATCGCCTTAAACTGTATCCGAACAAAAAGTTACATATTTTTCGATGACCGTTTGAAAAGTATACCAGTTATCATAATCATTAGACATACCATGATCATTACATGCTTATTTGTCAAGGCAAAAGTAAAAGTGGATGTACACGACAACAATACTACCACAACCATTATTACTCGAACGAAACTGTACATACAGAAATAGAGAGAAAGTGGGAGGTGTTATGAACAAATACTCTGTACAAGTATACACTTAAAAATTTACTGTGTAACATATAGACATTGTGCTACTTTTAAAAATATAAGATCTATCTAGATTCATAGAGTGGATAAAACGAAATTTTGCAAGAAAAACGGTGACGTCGAACTTTAATTATGTAATTATCTGTACTTCCAAATTTGTGATACGATATGCATTACACTTTTACACTAGAATTTACTGATTAACAGCCTATACCAAACGTTCAATAATGAAATTTAAATCTGGAATTCATTATGAACATTGTACAAAGTGTGTCGGAGTTTTGCAGTAGTAATTACCCTGTTTGTTTATCAAAAATACTACAAAATAGAAGTCTGTTTTTTGATAAATTACACTACCTCACTGCGTGATATATTCAACGATCAGACGAAGATGAAATATGACACTACCACAGTGTTCAAGTTAGTCTCTTATATTAATCCAGGAGTATTGTTTTTGATCATCCTTTACTAGTTGAGACTGATAACCGATATTTCCTAAACTTTATATGTTTGTTTGCGCACTGCTGAGGAGTCCAATACTAGGACGAAACAGCTGTCCAGTGCTCCCAGGTTTCCTTTGTTCCTCCAACTGATGTCAGCCTTCGATGAATAACAACTTGAAATATACCATATTCAATCTATTTCAGGCACTTAGAACTCCTTTTTCAAAAGGATGATTTATGGATTGATAAAAAATTTCTATCAAGTCACAAAAATGAACAATATTTCAACGAAGAGTCTCTTTTCGACACTTTCATATTCAAAGCTGTACAATCACACTAGTACACGCTTTTCTTGAGGAGGATGACCAACGTTTCAAATTAAATTGTTTTCCATGTTTGAAAGACATTGAAGCAAGATAAGTTGTCGTTAGTTAAAGACAATAATCATGGTTAGAGTTGAGCAATAGATCAAAATACTTTGGGAATGAGTTATTCTCAAAAAACAAAAAATAAGTAAAGTTTGATATCGTGTAAAAAGCGAACAGAATGGAAGAAGGAGATGAAGGTGTGATTTGAAATGTTAAGTATTAAGGTCATGAACGGAGAATCAAGGTTGTAAAGCTATGGATTTTCTTTGTGGATAGCAAAATCTTAGGCAGTTAAAAGGAGGTGAACATACATAACCCTTGGCAGATTTATTTTCACTCTGTAGATAACTTTGTAAATCGAATTATTACAAAATATTGGGTGACTGGTCAGGATTTATCTTAAGGTGACTGCAAAGAACGTTATTTGTAGAAAGTGTGAAATCTTCCTCTTTAGAATGTTAGCAGATGAAACACCTGTGGATTCAAGATTCACGTAAAGCATTTGAAGTAATCCCTCTGAGTCTTGAGCTTCGTATTTTTATCTACGGAATGACGTGAACATCCATTGTCGATCAGGATTTCCCTGGGAGGTTTATTTCATCTGCTTCAGCATTGGAGCTTCAGATAAATTAGATATAAGTTACGAGAGATATAGTCAGGTTTCTTTAGCAACTCATAGGTACCCAATTGTGGAAATCTATCTCTGACTTGGAGATACCGGGTTTGATCCCTGGCGGCGCCATGGGTTCTCGCTGCTGAAGGGTCCCATACCAGGACAAACCAGCAGTCCAGTGCTTCCAGGTCCTTAATAGTTCCCAAACTAATATCAGCCGATGATGAAAAATACCTTAAAATCATCTGCTGAAGTTGAGGCATTGAGGTTGCATCATTAGTTCTTAAACAATGAATGTGGCCTATCACCTTGAGCATGACACTTAGGGTGATTCTTCGATTTAAATTTTCCAGCTACTGAACATCAGTAATAAATAGTTACTAACTCGTTCTTCTTGATAACCTGAATGTTATAATGGTTCGGCTTTTTACTAGTCGTCATTGAATCCGCTTTTAGGGACAACTAGATTTCCTATGGAAGTCGTGGGGTTAATATATAACACCTTTTTTCTCACAAGTAATGGTGCTGAATGATAAAGAAAAGTTATCATTAAAAACTTGGCGGTGTAACCCAACTTGAAATATTTCCAAATCTCCACAACTCCCTCAAAAATCAATTGAACTAGTGCTCATTCGTGACTACCTTCGAGAAGTATTCCCCAAGTTATAATGAGAAGTAGTCACCGGTAGAGTCAAAGCTTGATGGTTATGAGGACAGTTACTCAACAATGACATTGAGTGGCAGTTGCGCTATATCGTGAGCTAACAGAAATTGGAAATCTGGACGATTGGATTGTGACCCAGTGGTTAGCTGAATGGTGAGGTGGTGGTCACGGAACCTGAAGTTTGTGGGTTCGATCCCTTGTGATGTGGGGTCATGGGTGCGTGTTGGTGAAGAGTTTGATACTAGTGGGAGGAAACAGCTGTTCATTGCTTCCAGGTTTCCCTTGTTCCTCTAACTGATGTCAGTCTACAATGCATAACAACTTGAAATTTTCTTATTACCTTTCTATTTTATGAAAACTTGAAAAATGAATAGAATATTTTTTAAATATATAAAAATGGGAAATTAATTTTGAAAGTCATTAAATTCTTTACATAAAAATTGATGTTTTCATTCACTTTGCTAATGTACTTCAATCCCGTGAGATTTTGATCGCCATCAAGGAAGTAAGTTTACATGAAAAATAAGATTTGTGAAACAATACGCTAATCAATATTACTTGTGAATGGATACATACTCCTAACATATAGGATGTCATTGTATATTTCATATTACATATTTGACCATCAAATATGTTGATATTTTTAGCAAATATCCAGCTTAAATTACAGTTACTTGCATTTCTAACTCTCATGTCGAGTTATTTTATAGAGAATGTGTCTGGAAGAGAAAATGTTTCACTGTAAGCTAATGGTGAAAGTTCCAATCAACTGTTAATTCATGAAACCCTTAGTATAGATTAATTCACAATGGATTTTTGCTTCAATTCAGCTTACTATATTCAGATATGATGTATGAAACTGATCAACAAATGAAATAATGTTTATGATAAAAACTTAATGCAAGTAGGCCAAAACTATTTAAGTCATTGGATGAATGGTCTCTATGCTCATGGGAAACTTGGTCGGAGTGACTGGTTTCATACTTCGATGTTGTATCTTGATCTAATAAGGTTGAGACTTCATTGAGGGCACCTTTAGTTACGAAACCAAGGCATGACAAAATCACATATGAGTTGGCGTATACAGAGTATACTACAATAATCACAGTTAATAGTTTTAAGAAGCTCATCAAAGGTTACACGTCTTTTAATCTACCATTACACCGAAATGATTCCATCACAAGTGGTTAGAAAAGTTAAGCCTCCTAACCTGGCTGACTTTAGCAGACACTTCTCAACATTTATACAGTTCACTAACACGTGGTACAAAAAGAAAGTGAACGACTCTTGGGGATTATATGTAGCAGAAGTTGGAGAGTACCACTCAAGACTTCTGAGTCTTTGTCAAAGTTACTTTAGTTACTAGCTAACCAAACAACACAAACGTTGAGGAAGATGAAGCATCTGAATTTGCATAACATAAATATAATGTTTGATAAACAGTTTCTTGATTATTATATAATTTGGTAGACAGCGAATACTGATTGAGATTTTCCTTTACTTAGCAAGTATTAAATTTTATAAGCCTCTTTTATTATTCTTTCTATATGTATGCCATATGAAACCTAAATATTAGTGTGCATCTCAGTGGTCACTCAAAGTAAATAAAGGAGATTGTAAAGGATACACTAATATATGAGGACTAGGAGTCACAAAATGTGAGAAGGAAGTTATAACCTTGAACAAGTATAGAAAAAATGATTCCTCAGGAATACAATGAGTGACTTACAAGTGTACATTGTTGATGACAATCAGATTTACAACAGATTTGTAGAGGATTTTTACAATCACTATCAGACTGACAGTTGTTCACACAATTCTTGATTGACTTATGTTTGTCGTAATTCAATTCATCATTCTGCATGTTTGAAGAGGAGTTATTCAAATCATAAAGTGAATATCTTAGTTTCTGAGGACATTCACCTGATCGCTTTTCAAATGTTTGCTGTATTAATAAACAACCAATATAACATCCAATTGTTGATCCCTGAATACAAGAGATTAAGAAAACAATAAGCATCATTTTAAGACAATGATAGTAACAACAGTGAGATAAGATAGAAAAGTTATACATCAATGGGTTTCATATTCTTATACTTTAAGTTGGTCAAATGACAGATTATGGTTAATGAAAAAATCAGCTCACTATTAGAGTGTTGAGCATTTAACAGGAAGTAGTATTCAAGACAAACACATCTCATACTTTTTGGGATCCTACGGAGGAGAGAATATCGTAAAGTAGTTTTCACCGCAGTTGTTAAAAGTTAGGAAAGACCGAACAACTGTTTCTTCTTCTTTCTGGCCTCTTCAATGATGCATACACTAAACGTTAAACAAAATCGATGATTCTCTCGTCAGTTCATATGACGAAAACTAATTTAACAATAATCAGATGTAAGTATTAGAATATTTTCGATAGCTTACATTGAATGGGTTGATAAAGTGTTTCCTGTTGATGAAAACATTTTGTATCTCATGATGCTGAGTTTTGCTGATTGATATTGAAGACTTTTATCAAGAAAGCTGACGCCGTGATCTTAGCATATTTTCATCAGGCAAAATTTTCAGCCTTTGTGAATGAAAATGTGCAAAACATTTCATTTTCGTTTAGGACAGTGTAACATTTCTTTGAATAAATACCTAATGGCCTAAAAGCTGATAGTTTTACTCAAGATTTTGATTCACCTTTCACTAAAACATCAGTCTAAATAAATTATTTCGAGGGAGTTGTGGGGATTTGGAAATATTTCAAGTTGTTATTCATTGTAGACTGACATCAGTTGGAGGAAAAAAGGAAACCTGGGAGCACTGGACAGCTGTTTCGTCCCACTTGTATGTGACTCCTCAGTAGCACGCACCCACGACCCTACACCAACAGGGGTCGAACCTGCGACCTTCAGGTTCTGTGGACAGCACCTGAAGCCAGGAATCCGAGTTAAATTTTTTATCTTGATTGATGCATGCACACGTGTGGTTCAAGTAAGAATAAAAGCTGGAATTCTGAGAGGATTCAGCGTGATATGATTGGTAAATTATACCAATACTATCATCATTTAAATAACACTGCCTAGCTGTATGATATATTAAACAAGTAAACTAATATGGAACTATGCTTTCCCCTATCGCTCTAATTATGCTGTTACATAAGTGATGCTACCAGTAGATTCTTCACAAACTACTCACATGAACAACAATCAGGTGATAAATAATGACTAACTTCGAGAAGGATTTCCCCAAGTTGTTGGTTGGAGTTCATGATATGCGAAGTCAAATAATTTTGACATATGCAAACAAAACTCCCTCAAAATTCAGTTGAACTAGTGCTCATTCGTGACTACCTTCGAGAAGTATTCCCCAAGTTATAATGAGAAGTAGTCACCGGTAGAGTCAAAGCCTGATGGTTATGAGGACAGTTACTCAACAATGACATTCGGTCATGGGTGCGTGTTGGTGAAGAGTCTGATACTAGTGGGAGGAAACAGCTGTTCATTGCTCCCAGGTTTCCTTTGTTCCTCTAACTGATGTCAGTCTACGATGAATTACAACTTGAAATAAGTTATTTTCGAAGATTAAATGGTTTAGAAAAGATTCCTCAAATCACCAGTATAATCTGTTTCTAATACAGCTTATTGGCCAGTATACACTTGTCTGCCATGAAAGCTTTTGATGACACGTAAAAGCATACTCAGCGACAGTTGATATTACAGCTAAAAAATGAAAAGATACAGCGTCATACTTTTCTGCAAGACCAATATACTTCTTGGTGTGATGAAGGAAGGTCTTGCCATAAATCAGAAGATCCGTTTGCTATTGAAGAATCATAGTACACTGTAAAAAGGCTTTCTTCACCAATCGATTGTATATATCATTATGAAAAGAAGACCGGTACCCCACGGTCTACAAATCTGAGGTTAAACAAACAATCTGTTAAAGAAACTAGTAAAATAGTCACGTTTTCCACTTTTCATTTCTTTTCTCCTTTATGGGGATTTTGATGAAAACATTTAACAGGTTGTCATGATAGTCAGCTTGACAACTTTCAATGTTCAATTTCGTAGGATTACACTCGAATAATAGTTGGAATAAGTTGTTTTATGATTTACTGGCAGATGTAATAAAACTTTTAGATAATTTTCAAAACAGCAGGGAAACTTTAAATGTTATTCTAGCAGATTCCTACAGAGATATATTTCCCTTATAACACCTGTGTAGTGTAGAAACTGATCTATGTTTGCTTTGCTATGTATTAGTGTCATTGATGCTTATAATGAAGTAAAGTAAGCAAAAGACCTACAATAATTATGCAAGTTTCTGACTGTTATGATTAAATAAACAAATTGTCAAAATGTGCCATAGAAACATGAATAAAATGAGGCTACAGCCTTTAATGTATACTGACTGTAAATCATTTTTCAGTTCTCAGGGATTTTGAGAAATAGCCGACTAACATAGTAAGTTCAAACAAGAATCCATATATACTGTGACAGGAAAACAACCAAAACCCATAGTAAACTGAACAATCAGTTTGGTTTTCTCTGGTTTATCTTTCGTGTGATATCTGCACCTAATTATTTCTTAGACTCATGAATTAGTCCTTCAGAAAGAATTTTGATAAGTTTCTCAACAAAGAATTTGATGCATGAATTATCACGTTTAAACTGAAGTAAAACTTATAATTCTCATTGTAATATCAAAAACAAGCTATTAAGCTAGGAGGACTGTTTTCAGCGGATTAATTCTCAACCTGTACATTCGTGTATACATATTAGTAATGGGTAATGATTGAAAGTGAAATGAAAAATGTTGTTGGGAGAACACTAAACTGGAAACTGGGTAGTCACTGGTCTGAATCACGCCATAACCTAAATTTTCATTCCACTCTCAATCATCACCCAGTATCAATACTAGTCTGCCAAACAACGGCTATCTCAAATAGTCAAAACGATGATAAAGTAGGTTAACTATTCGAACCATCTTCATATCCCTATTCTTGATTTGCATACTTTTCTAATGACACTACTGGATGACGTCTACAAGTAGTTGTTTAGACCTCTTCTCTACTTCACTCTTCAATGTGTGGGTGTATGTGTGTGTGTGTGTGTGTGACACGGGGGTAATGAGTGAATTCATAGACTCCTAGATTCATTCTGTGAACATCTGTCACACCGTTTAATACATTTGTGTCAATGGGAGTAATCAAATAACTAGTATTTCTACCTGGTGATTCAGTCAAATTTAGGTGTCGATTAGGCCGTAGTAAACAATTCCATTAGTGATACAATCTGTGAATGTATTTGTCTAGGCTACAATGAATAAATATGGGTTTTCAGCATACAGTGTTTAAAGCAATCCTGAAACTGCCGAGCACTCTCTTCGGACTGATTGTGAAATAAGTTGCTGGAAGTGTTTGAATTTAGCAAGTTTTGCCACTCAGATATGTGAAGTGGAAGCACAGATCTGAGAATAGAATTCTTGTAATTCTAGCTATTGTGTGTCTCGAAGTAGATTTCTTCAACCTGGAAGTAGTTACAAGCTTGTCACTCCAGGAGAAGAGTGTTTCACTATCCTGGTTTGGTGCTACCAGTGGCAAAACTTCATATTTGGAATTCATATACCACAGTCATCAGATGTGTCATGAGAGTAGTTGATTAAAATGCTCAGGCAGTTCATCTCATCAACATGGGTGTGATGGGTGAGCACTGACCTATCAGTGACTGTTGAATATTTTACCCGGAATGCAAGCTGCTGGTAGTTCTACAGTCCTACACTCCTTTCAGTTGAGTATGACTGACAGGGTTGTAGCTAACTATCACATGCATAGAGTCTAGACTGGGTCATCAACCATTCAAAAGCCGAGGTCGACAGTTCAAATGTATGAATAAGACCTTATCGTAACTGTTGTATACATACATTTATATGGATTCGTTGTGCTCCTCCAAAACAGGTTAATCTTTTTTGTTAATATTTAAATGTCATATTCTGTTGGAAAGTTTTCATTCAACGAGATAGCACAATAACCATAGCTGCCACAAAATTGAATTCCGTATAATTAGCGGCATTTTTGAGAGAAGCCATGCGGGGAATTACGTGGAATATTTAAGAAGTATGGAATTTTTAATCACAAAGGTTAAAAAGATTGTCGAATCCGCTAGTCAAACCGACCATATGTATATATAGTATGTAAAGAATATATTTTATTTCCAAGGAAAAACTACTACGATTAGAAAATGAATGTTGTTAGTACTGTATTACGAACAGATTCAATCTTCTCAGTGTCAGCAAACAGACTATGAAGTCTATCTGGTGGCTTGAAGCGAAATGCTTCTCAGTATCCATCGCTTCAAACGCCAAAGCGTTATCCACTAGGCTACCAGGGGACGAGAGCTACTAGTGAAGTGTGTATTAGTTGTTGTTTATCGATACTTACGACTTTTCCTTGATATACTGGGTTGGATGACTTGACCTTTGTTTGTATATGGCCTCCTATGTGGATACCTCGATAGCACCCATATGTCCATTAGGTTGTAGTCTAATTGATGGCCAGCAGTGGAATCCGTCCATCTGCGAAAAGATGTCGGGCAAAGCGACCCATTATAGCGACGGGAAACCAGAAATACCAATACTCGAGTAGACTTTGAATCAAAATCCATAGCACAACAATTGTGTTAGCTAGTAGATATCAAGACTAAGTCTGACCCTTAAAGAAACTAGCTTGTTGGCCAGATGAAGGATTCAAAACCACCACTACTTATTTTATACACACTTGTCTTTTAGTTGTAGTGAATTTACAATGAAAGTGGCTTCTAATGGCATAAACATTAGATATTTTTCTCCTACGTAAAGTATCAGAAATGCTTTTTTGAT